TATACATAATAGTATTTTCAATTTTTCATAACAATAGATTGAAGAATAAAACTACTAGTAAACATTCTATTATCAAAATATGAGATAAATGGGTTATTTTATTTAAACATTGTTAGTCTTATATGTATATATATATATATGTATTGCACATTATAAGTACTTCAGAATTTTTCTTAAAATGATGTCGGTGAACGTTTATATTCGAGTGATGAAAAGGATAACAATGTTAAGATTGAATTCATACAAATGAATGCAGTAAAAAAAAATGTAAAATGCAGTTAAAATAAAATAATTTTATTTATAGAATTGTCTGAGCCATAATTTAGATATTTGTATAACATTATACCATAATTCAATTAACGTTCATACGGAGTTTAAATGTCATACTCTAAAACGCTATGCTCAACATTATTAGCAAATAGGTAAAATCATAATTAACAAGTTCCTCATTTTTTATTTTTTTTGAACAACTAAGGGATTTTCTATTTTAGCTAATCTTTCATGTAAACTTTTTTCTTCCTATTTGTGAATAGGTATCGAAAATTTTATTTCTTGTACTTCGTCCATCTGTGACTTCTTTACATCTTATGTGTTACTAACCTCAGCTATTCCTGTTCGTCTTTTTGTGTACAGTGCAATTTATATTTTTAGCAACAAATATTTCTCTTAGTTTTCATTTAATGAATAGATAATGTAGGTAGATGAAGTGAAAGGGGTTATGCCCATCTCAATACGCTTAAAAGTATTTTAAATTCCACATTTTTTGTAATTGTGGGATGGTGGCTTTGTGTCCTATAACCAACTGAATGGATTAATGAATACATGCAATTGGGTCATTTATAAATTGGACATTGGGAGTGAAATGATTAATAAATTAATAACATAATAGCATAATAGGTATTCAAGTATTTCTTTTCCTGACACCAGCGAATATGATATACATAAGTTGGAATGGAATTAGTCAATAAGCATGTAGAAAAATCTTTATTCCTACACGCAATATATTTTAACTGGCTCTTGTGCTGTTCAAAGAAAAACATTTCTACCTAATTCATTTCTGCCTATTTTACTTTTTACACCATGATTGCAGCTAAAATCCCAGAGACCAAATGAATAAGACAGCTAAATGAGTAGAGTTAGGAGAAAACTCAACGAAAACAGTTAGACTCTGAACCCTGCAAAATTGTAGAGAGGAGCAGACAAAAAATTTTCGCCTCCTGCATTTGGTATTTTATATTTTTTTTACTCTATTCACTATTTTATGGCTTACAATGTCTAAATATTTCGACTATGTGAGTCGATATTCTAAACCATTGATTTTGTTTACGAACTACTAGCTCTTGTATCAGTGGTAGAATGATTTGGTTCGATTCCATTAAAAGATCGAAGGTTTTGGTTCAAAATCTGTTTAGATCCGAATTATATTATATTATATATTATATTATATTCCTATCGCATTTAGGTATATTGACACTATTACTCATATTAATGGTAATAGTACTAATTAAAAACTGACGAAATAAGTAACGTCATTTAAGTAAGTTTAACATTGTTAAAGTAGTAAAGAAGCAAAGTATTAGCGCAATAAATAAGGCCATCTGATTGATGTTTCTAAAATAAAGAGAAAATAGGAAAAGTTTTTTTATATTATAATATTAGTTAAAGTATTAACAAGATGCTGTGGAATTGAAAGTTCTCTGCTATACCCACTTCAAAAATTGAAAAGAAATTTTATTTTGGCACTGCATCTCTAACTTCTTGATAATAATATTTAACTAAAATTAAACTATTTTTAGAGTAATACTAAAGTTAGCATATCCTGATTGTATGACTTATTTGGACACTTGTATATATACACAAGCAGTTAAGATTATCATTTTTCTGAGAAAATTGGTTAATCTTGTACTTTCCAATAAAAACTTTACGTCATGTTAGAGAAGTTAATATATACGAAAATATACGAATATGTAATTAATGACGCAGCGTTCATTAAAAATAATAATATTCGTCATTATTTTTGTTACAAATGTTATAAGTTATTTAAGTGTTTTGCGGTCTTGTGGAATGTCCAAAATATTATATCTAACAGGCCAGCAAATTGCAAGCAATCTGCACACCCATTTGAGGTGCTCAATGGCTGCTATTTCCTATTTTGGTTACTACATACTTTCTTGCTATCAGTTCAGGTTCTGAATGGCTTTTGGAGCAATATAAAATTAGAAACCAAAGTTATTGACATATATGTATATATATTCTTCTATTTTTTTACCTATTATTGATACTCACACAATCACATGTAGATAAGTTTACCGAATATAATCACATGGAGCCATAAGAGTTCGATTATTATTCGTTTAGTAATCTAAACTTTTCAAAATTTCAAATAATAGGTTTTGATAAAAAGACCATATATACCATGGTATATATTTAATTTATTTCTAAACTATTGATAATAAATGAACAGTTAATTGATAAGGCCAATTTTGGATTGTCATATATGTAAATACCATACTTTTTTGTAGAAAACCAAAAAAATGATGTTTTTTCGGGTTTGTTAAATTACTGTTAAGTAAAGGCCTATAACTTGATTTTTGATTTGGTGTATTATTAATAATAAACATATTTATTAATATATAGATACATATACATATTTATATAATAATTACACATACCCTAGATATACCCACTATTTAAAGGTACTATTTTTTTATTATTGTTAGAGGTCTGGTTGTTGAGATATAACCAGACCATATTTACGCCATTAAATTAGAAGTAAAAATGCAGGATTAACTTTGGGAATTTATATTCAATAGGAAAATTATTTTCTAAATCCCATTCTTTTTAATGATTATGTAGAATTATGAGATGGAAATTATTTTTAATGAAACAAAAAAAAATTAAATCTTTTTGCAAAGCAGATTATTTATGTTTATTCTTTTTACCTCTCAAAAGATATTGCTTATCTTAGCCATATTATTTTTAACTTATATCATAATGAAATCTATATTGTGAGTTTCTTCTTGAAATGGTTTAGTCTATAGAATTACAATTTTATCGTTCTATTTTTTAGCCAAAATAAACTGATCGTAAAAATTCGATTTTCGCCAATGCAGTTAGACAATTTCTGATTTCCGGATTTTGATTTTAAAAGTCAAAAATTTTAATAACGCTCTAAACGTGACTTTTCAGAAATTTTTTCATACTGAATCTATTTGCGACATTATTTTTGATTTTATTATATTTTGACTTATTTATATAGCTATGGAGGATACTTTAACAAAAAACTTTATGGTAAACCTACAAATAAAATACTCTATTACAGGGATGCCCCGTCTACATTACTTTTAGCATATTTATTTTTGAAATGCTCCTTGCTAAACGGGTACGCACAATCACCAGAGCTGTTATGCTCTCTAGATGGTTTCCGTACGTAAACTACTAAGAAATAACATTTGCGATATTTTTAATTTTTCTAAAAAATTGTACGTATGTCAGCTCTAAAATATTAGTCTATAGCATTTGTAATCTCCGTTACGTATGCGTTGTACAATGATAAAATAGATGTAGGACGTGTGCGAGTTAAGCTAAGTTGCATTCTAAATAAGGGAAATTCTACGTTGTGCTGATAATGTAATGATGTGTCGATACGTGTTGATAAATGGTCAAATGTGTGCAGTGCAAAAAATCCCAAAAAACTTCCCAATTGGTTTGGCATCAACTTAGCCTAACTCGTACACGTCCGCAAAGCGCTTTCCTTGGCATCCTAATAGCTGCAGCAAAAGAAAGTGAAATTAATATTCAATCTAACATGGATTTTTAATTCACAATGACCCGTCAGAAAACTCAATATTAGACTGATGTCTCTGCCATTCATCTTTACGGTCGCTAAAATTTAAAAGAACTCAACTAGCGTAGAGATGTCTGTATATTGTTGGAAATTTTTATATTGTATTTAGCTGTTCTGTGCCGAAAAATTTTAATAATTGTTTGTGTGATACTAGTTGTAAACCCAAGTATTCAAATGTTTATATTTTTAATAGTTTTTATATACCTAGTTCATCTGCCTCCCAGGGAGGAGATTTAGGAACTGAATTGATATCTCGTTTAGAGATGCATAGCAGTTAAAAATCAGTTTAGAAGTGAATAGTATATATCTATTGAAATTGAGAATGTTGAAAATATAATCAATATTTGCTGAAAAGGAACTGGACAACTTTAGTATGGAATTGTGAACGTAGTTATTAGTCATCTGTTGTAAATTAAGTTAAAGTCTAAGAGTTTTCACAGTTTACTCTAATGCAAATGTCGTTGTCTAAGACCGACCATTATTCTTTAATACCACTCAGCAGTATCAGTCTTATAACGGCAAATTAAAATCCATTGGGTTATATGAGAAGTGGTGACCTTCTTACCAATTACTTATGAATAGTAAAGAAATATTAGTTTTTGTAATCGTTTAAAGATATTTTGATTAATTTTAATATTCGTATGTTTAAGTAGCTATTGACTTCAATACTTACACGTGTTTAATTTTTCCAGGCTTAAGGTCGTATTTTTTATAAAAACTTATATATAATATACAATAACTATATACTACATATATAAAATCGAATTTAAGATTAATTAAAAAATATGACAGTTGTTAACTTATGCATATATTTATTTAACAATTGATTTAATTAGGTTTTTTATTTACTGTTTTTGTGGGATATACCAAAAAGTTTTGCGTTTTGAAATATATATACTTAGAATTGATATTTTATAACCTTGGTTTTATTTGAGTTAACCCTAAGACCACATACTGTACAGGTTTCATAAAAACTAATCACATTTTCCAAACGATTTCTTTTTGTCGCATATTCTTCAGTATTTTTATTTAACTAACATTTTTTTTATGTATTTAGTATCATTTGATGTATCAAAGACTTGAGATAAATATTTATACTGAAATAAATGCAGCTGTATATATAAAACAAATAAAACATTAATTAATTAAAAGGTAGTTTTCACTATAACAAATTTATTAACACTTTCGTACAAAGTATATTTGTAAATGAATCATTAAACTTTTGATTGAAAATAAAATAATTAAAAAATGATTGAATTGAGAAGTTGCCTATTATGTTAATACCATCATAATCTTTATTATGTTAAAGATTTTTTAAGAATAAATAGTTATTACTTCACGACCTCCTCCTCTTACCATTAGCACCTTTTCAAGGCCTTCTGTTAATACTTCTAAGAACTCCATATCTATAATTAAGTAAGAAAAATATATAAACAATGCAAGCTTCTAAAAATATATTTTAATACTTACAATTGCTTTCACGGTCTGTTTTAATATTTCTTGGTGGTCCTGGTAAATTCATAATTACCAGTTGAGCGTCTTGTGATTTATTTACAATAACTTCATTTAATTTTACAGCAGTATGCATTCGGCGTACATTGAATTCGTCTCTGAAAAATATAAATATATAACGATATATGTAATTAGTAATTAGATATAGTTTTTTGTTGCAAATGTTAGGTTAGGCTAGGTTATACCGGTGATCCCTGGTGGATCCATTTAGGCCTATTGGCCCACTGTGTTACCGTATATATAGGAATTGCAAATG